AAAAAAAAAAAAAAAAAAACACAACTGTTTTTACAGCTCTTAAAAGCTCTGTACCTCGCCATTGCTTATCACTTGTAGCTTCACACAGCTCATTAAAAAGCACACTCTACTTTTGTCCCCATTTTTTCACCTTTTTTTTTTTTTTTTTNNTTTTTTTTTTTTTTTCCTGGTTTTGATAAGCACTGTCTCTTTCTTGAAATAACAGAGAGAGTTTATTTGTTGCTGTGCTGTTCAGAGGGTTGTACTCAAATGGGGGCTTCAGGCAAATGGATTAAAACACTGATAGGGATGAAGAAGCCCGATAAAGATGACAATGTAAGTTTGTAATTACAAACTGTTTCAAAAAAGATCCTTTTTTTTTTGGTGGGATTTCTTGATTTCAAGCATTATTCAGCTGGGGTTTAACAAAGATTTTTTCTTGCTCACTTTTTATGGTCTTTTGAGTGTTCCCCTGCTAATTTTGATTACCCTTTTTGTCTTTTTTGTACACACTCTGTGTTTAAAATCACTGTCTTTTTCAAAAGGAAAAAGTTTGTGGGAAGGGCAAAAAATGGAGGATTTGGAGGAGTTCGTCTGTGGATCTAAGTGGGTCCTCTTCATGGAAAGGATTCAAAAAACTGAGCGGCTCAGATTTGTCCAAAGAATCTTCATCTGTGAACAATGATGCTTTTCATGCTGCTGTTGCAACTGTTGTTAGGGCTCCTCCTAAAGATTTTAAGGCTGTAAGAAAAGAATGGGCCGCCATTAGAGTCCAAACTGCTTTCAGAGGATTTCTGGTCAGTATTTCTTCATTTATGTGATTTGCTGTTTGAGAGTTGAACAATATAATGTGACACAGAAGAAAAATCTCACCTTTTTGGTTTTCTTTGCCTGCTTAAGTTTTTGGTGGCTTTTGTGTTTTGAATCTGTAATGAAATGTTGATGTGGGGTTTGTCATTAGGCAAGAAGGGCTTTAAGGGCATTGAAGGGATTGGTGAGGCTCCAAGCCATAGTCCGAGGCCGGCAGGTCCGTAAACAAGCTGCGGTAACTCTTAGGTGCATGCAAGCTCTTGTTCGTGTGCAGGCTCGGATTAGGGCCCGTCGTGTGCGAATGTCTGTCGAGGGACAAGCCGTACAAAAGTTGCTCGATGAACTTAATGGCAAGGATGTTTTGCTGAAACAAGCCGAGGTTTTTTTGTTCGCCCGCTCGCAGACTTTCCTTGTTGTTGAAAACATTATCTAATTTTTCGTATTTTTTGTTTTCGCAATTCGTGGATTTCGATTCATTTAGGAAGGATGGTGTGATAGTAGAGGAACACTTGAAGAAGTCAAGGCTAAAATACAGTTGAGGAAAGTGGGAGCTGTGAAGAGAGAAAGAGCACTTGCATACTCTTTAGTTCAAAAGGTATTATTTGATCAAGAAATTGAAAGAAAAAAAAACACCTATTTGGTCTTTGCACTTCTAAAGATCATACATCTTTTCTTGGTTTGGCAGTTGAAATCAGGGCAGGCTATTGAATCCTGCAACAATAATCCCACATTGAAAAACAATGGATTGGACAAGAATAATAGCTGGAGCTGGCTCGAAAGGTGGATGGTTGCAAAGCCTTGGGAAAATAGACTAATGGCACAGATTAACACCACTTCTTTGGACACAATTCCACATTCAAAACCCTTAACCAAACCGAACTTCTCAGCTTCGCCGGAACAAAATTCGATCAGAGTCACTCGAAACAACGTCACCAAGAGAATATCGGCCAAGCGTCCATTTATCAGTTCCCATGAGAGCCCGAGTTCTGATTTCTTGAAGCCCGATGAGAGCCCTGCCTCTTCTTTCTTCACAAACACAACCCCATTTTCTATAAACACCCACTCGGATAAGACAGAGGAAAGTAGTAACACGATCCGGCCGAATTACATGAACTTGACCGAGGCAACTAGGGCAAAGCAGAGGATCCTAGGTGGACTGAGGCAACCGTCCATGGACGAGTTTCAGTTTCAAAAGAAGTCGATGATTGGAGAAAATGGGGTCGGTTTCGATTCTAAGTCGGGGATTCTTTGTGTGCCGGCAAGGAATTAATAATGGATGGGGGAGACTTTGAAATTGCAACAGCTTGTTGTTTGTTATGTGTTGGAAAGTTTGAATGAATTCTGAATTTTGTGTAAAGTTGTGTGAGGACTGAATGGTAGTTAAAAAACTTGAAAATGGGGAATGGTAAATTTATTTCCAGATTTTGCTTATGTTTATGCCATTGGGTTAAATATGTCCAGTAACATTCATACAAATCACCAGAAATGAAAATTGTATAAAAAGATTAGTTCTTTTCAAAGATTTAGAAACATTAAATCACTCACCTTGATGTATGTATTCTTAACTTTTGAGATGTATGGAAATTTTAGTGATTACACAGATGGGAATTTGTATTATTGTATAACTGTTCCTTATTTCGAGTAAATACATGAACTTTTTTTACGCACATATTCGACTTTCATGCACGTCTGATCGCCCGAACCTTTACACCTTTTCTGAAGTTGAGCACGATTCCATAGTCCAGCTCCAAAGGATTCTCCATATCAGGCGAATGCCGGAAAACGTAATTTCTATATAAATGGATCAACGACAGCTTGATTTCTTGCAAGGCAAATTTCTGGCCGATGCATGCACGAGGCCCGATTCCAAACGGGATGTTGGCATAAGGGTGCCTCCATTTTTCCTCTTTACCATTCGGGTCGAACCTCTCGGGCTTGAACTTTTCCGGCTCCAGAAAATTCATTGGATCTTTTGCAAGAACTCCTAGAGCTAGCCACACCCATGTACCCTATTCATTTTAAGCTCATTTTGAATTATTTTCGTTCTTTGGCTCAATTATTATACTCATGACAATAGTTGATTGTACCTTTGGAAGGACATAGCCTGCAATATTAACTTCTGCAGAAGCTTCTCTAGCAACTAAGGGAGAAACTGTGTGGAATCTCATTGCTTCTTTTATAACCTGCACTTAGTAAAAGAGTAATATCAAGAAAATATAAAATAGTTATATGCATTTTGAAACTATATGGCACAAACTAATATACCTTACCTGATCAAGATAAGGGAACTTATGATGAAGTTCGTGCGCGTCCGGCACCCGATCGCGAGGGCCAAAATCGTCAATTTCCTCCAAAATCTTCTTCTCGACTTCCGGATACAAAGCGACCAAATAAACAACACACGACAGAGTGAACGAAGTCGTGGCGGACCCCGCCAAAAGGTGCTCGTAAGTCACCGCGCTAACATAATCCGGCGTGAACACGCTCACCGCACCCTTCTCACGCTCCCTTGCCCTCAACACGAGCGACAAAAGATCCCTCGACTCGCGAGAATCGCCACCACTGCACTTCATCCTCTCCTCCACGATCTCGTCCACACGGCGGCTCAAATTCGCGTTCGTCCGGTGAAACTTCCAATCCATCGTGCCCGGAATTCTCTTCAAAATCTTTCTAAAGGGCTCTTGCAATATAGGGACTAGCAACCCGAGTACGATCGAAAACGAGCCGGTTAAGTCCATTTTAAGACGAGTCGTGGAGTAAATGTGCTCGTTCACGAAATCTTGAACATGCCCGCTTTCTCGTTCGCCGTCGTTCGATTTCGGTTTCGAGAGGCCAAAGTCGAAGCCAAACGCGGCTTGGCCAATCACGTCCGTGGCTAGCTTGAGCGAGAGGTCGGAGAACGAGAGGTCGATCAAACGGTCGAGATTCTCGGTGGCCGATTTCACGATTTCTTGCATGGTGGGGATTAGTTTGGCGAGGTGAGACGGTTGGTAGACGGATAGTGTAGTGTTTCGCATGGCGGACCACCTAGCATCCCTGCAGTTCGTTCATTCACTCAGATATTTTTAACTATTGATTATTTCGAACCGTTGTTAAGGTCCAGTCAACTATAGTCGTTACATTTTTCGTTATACTCCTATAACTCAAATATTTTTAACTACCCATTACTTCGAGCAGTTGTTAAAGTCCGGTCAACTATAGTTGTTACGTTTTTCGTTATACTCCTATGTAAGTTAACCGTGTAACACGAAAAACTAATTTCGGTTTCGTTTTGTTTCGGTCGAAAGCACTCGATTGTTGTACCGATGTTTGGTTTTTATTGTTGTACCTTGTGAAGAAAAGGCCCTTTTGATGAAGAGGGGAAGCAGCTATGGGAGAAGGAATGCTTCTATTGGGAAAGTATTTGAATTTTTTTATACCAACTTCTTTGCAAAGCTCTGCATCTGCTACAATTATTAGTGGCTGTCTGCCCATTTGAAACCTGATTTTTTTTTTTTTTTTTTTTTTTTTTAAATAATAATAATAAGAAAAAAGATTAGACTATATAGTCAGGAAAATACAAAATCATGTGAGCTGTAAAGGAGCAAAATTTTGCATTCTAATGAACACACACATCACACAAGTCACACATCACAAGTCAACTTAGAAAGCCAAACTATGTGAGCTTTTCTTTCCCTACCATTCATCATACCTCTAAAGGCCTTCATGATGAATAAGACTTGAAGATGAAAAAATAGGAGATGCAACGGTATTCCCCCGTCGGAATTTGT